CTTTCTTTCTTTCTTTCTTTCTTTCTTTCTTTCTTTCTTTCTTTCTTGAGTTCTGGGATCTGTGGAGCCATTTATTTCTACTACCTTGGCTAAGTTCTTGTTTCCAAGTTCATTAGACCTTTCAGCACACAGGTTTCCCAAATCAATCTTTTTCCTGGACTCTGAGGGGTTTCATCCACTCAAACCATAGGTGACAGGACATGGCACAGTAGACAAACTTCTGAGTGGGTTCCACTTTTCAGGATGTAGGTGGCAGAAAAGGAGAAAGCAGAACAATCTTTACTTTCCTGTTAGCTCTTCATGCAGCAAAGGATTATTATTTTTTAAAAATATTAATTAGCTTCTAGCAGCAAAAGTGCTTCTCCAAATAGCAGAATCTTCCTCTAGACAGATCAGCTCCAAGCAGCAGCTGCAAAGCCTGTCTTCCTCTGATTATCTAGTCTTGGCTATGTTTGGATTGAAGAACTGCTTTTCTCTTCTGCTCTTCTGCTCATTCTTCCTTCGCTATTGGCTCCTGAATATGACTTCTGACTGACTCCTGGTTCTATTCAGACTTTGTCTTCACTATATATGTATATATATATATTTAAATCAGATAACTCTTGTCCTCAAGAAACTTAATGGGCAGGAGGGCACATTTAGAATAAGCTATCCAAAAGTGAAATGGATTGTTTTGGGAAGTGATAGGTGTCTCCTTGGAAGTCTTCAAAGAAAGGATTGACAAACTTTTATTGGACATGATGTGGTGGGGATTTGTTTTCAAGTATGGGAAGAAGTAGATGTCCAAACCCAAAAGACTGTGATTCTCTGAACTAGAGCTGGGTAGTCAGAATGGTGAGGCTAACACATGCCATATGAGAATATATTTAAAGACTTGTTAGTGTTAAGCCTGGAGAAGAGATTTAATAGGGACATGATCACCATCTTCAAATACTGGAAAATCATTGAGCAAATAGGGATTAGATTTATTCTGCCTAGGTTACTCAGTGGGTAGAGTTCTGGACCTGGAATCATGAAGTCCTGAGTTCAAAACCTGTCTCAGAAACCTACTAGCTGTGTGACCCTGGACAAATTTAATCTCTTTGTGTCTCAGTTTCTTCATCTGTAAAATGAGGATAATAGTAGCATCTACCTCCAAGTGTTGTTGTAAGGATAAAATGAGAAAATATTTATAAAATGCTCTGCAAACATTTAAGTACCATGTAATTAATTGTTGGTTATTACTAACACAATGCAAAGGTAGGACTAATGAATAGAAGTTATATCAGGGCAAATTTTGGTTTGACATAAGGAATAACTTCCCAACAATTTGAGCCATCCAAAAATGGAATGGGTTTCCTGGAGAGGTAGTTGTTCAACCATATCACTGGAGATGTTTAGGTAAAGGTTGGATGACCACTTATGTATGTCAGATAAGGGATCTGTACTACAGGTTGCAGCTGATTAATTTCTGATGTCCTTCAAACTCTAAGATTGTTTGACTAAAAAAAGAGACATTGTACTTGAATGAGGTCTGAGAGCAGATATTCAAAGGAACTGCTTATATCATTTAAAAATTTTTAAAAAATTATTTTATCTTTAATTTATGGAATAAAATAAGCATTTCAATAATATAGTATAATAAAAATGATTGCACATAAAACTGCAGATCTATTATGTAAAACTTTCTCTTCTTCTTAAATACATAAAAAAGTTATCATGTAAATTTCTTCCCCGCCCCCAACCATAGAGAAGGCTATCATTAGATGCAAATATGTATGTATGTGTGTGTGTATGTGTGTGTGTATGTGTGTGTGTGTGTGTGTGTGTGTGTAAAATCATTCTATGCATTCTTTGATTTACCAATTCTTTCTCTGAATGTAGGTAGCATCTTCCTTCATATGTCATTCCTCAAATATATAAAGAACTTTGTAAAATCTGTATCATTCTTTAATTGTGTTCTCTAGTCAAATAGCCTTAACGTAGAAAACATAGATGTATTTGGATTCTCATTTATAAGTTTAATACCTATTGTTATTGAGCCTTAAAAAATATTTAGATATGAGTTTAAGAATCACGAAATGTTTCTGCCACTTTAGGTTGAATTTAATTTCAATATTATTTGATTCATGATACCTATGAGAGGTATAAATTTTAGAAAATAAACAGGACAGCCTTGAAACTCTAATGGGCCTAAGACAGCCCAAACTAGAATTACAGGGATTACTGACCCAGAGCCCAAACTATGGAGGGAATGGGGTAGGCCTGTAAAGAAACTTCAGAGGTGGCCTGAGGGATTTCTTCATAGAATTGAAGTCTTTCTATTGTTCAGACATTGCTAGCACTATTAGGAATATTGCACAATCTTATGCTGATCAGAACATTTTAGAGGATGTCATTTAATTACTGATATGTCTGATTTTGTACCTCAGATTCTAAAAATGGTGTTGGGCAGACTACAGGTGAGAAAAATTGCAGAAAAGTCTTGAGTGAACAAAGGGCTGGTTTGTAAACAAGAAGTTGAACTATTTAATATTTTCAAAAAGGTAGTATAAATTTTAGTATTTTTAACATATTTCACCATGGACTTGTATTTAGAGTAACCAACAAGTAAGCCCAGCATGGAAGAATGGAATTGCAGTGACAATGGGCTGAGGTAGGGGAGTAATTTTAAAAAAAAAAATCATTAAGATGAGGAATGATGGAAGCGGTGCAGTGGATAGAGGGCTGGGCCCAGTGTCAGGAAGACCTCAGTTCAAATTTGGTCTCAGATACTTCCTAGATGTTGTAACCCTGGAAAAGTTACTTAACATCTGTCTGCCTCATTTTCTTTAACTATAAAATGGGTATGATAATAACACTTACTTCCTAGGATTGTTGTGAGATCTTTGTAGAGTGCTTGACACAGTGTCTAGGATTAGTAAACACTTAACAAATGCTTCTTTCCTTCTTTCCTGGGAAAAGGGATAGGGATTTGGTTATAGAATGCCCATCAGAATCCCAATGGCAGGATGCAAAAAGATACATACTATAACCCAGATGCTGAGCTTTTGAACTTTTCAATGGATCTGAGATCTCCCTTATGTAGCTGTTCTTTCCATTTGTTTAGATTGTGACCATCTCTGCCTTCTCATGCTTCATGGCCTCCTAACCACCCTCCATCAAGGATCCATCCAACGTGCCAAAATGTCTCTTCGGGTCTTTTCACATTTTGTAGATAGCCATGGGCTGTCCGTTCTCCTCACATGACTGGCCTACCTCTTTTTCCAATCTTAATCTGGTCGTCATGAGGTACTGATAGTCACTATCCCTGTTCTATTCAAACACCCGAATCAACGGGTCCCACATTCATCTTGGTGATTGAGCTTTCCATCCGTCGAACTAAACTAACTATTGGAAGGTATGCCAGGTTCTCTGCGGCTCCTTTCATCCTCCAGCTCTACCTCTGCCAGAGTGACTGCACTATCTTTCTAGTCTAAAGGCTATGGCCAGAAAGAATTTATCTAGTTACAGAATCATAGACTTAGAGTCAGAAGGGACCTCAAAGAACATCTAATCAACTATCTAAACTTTCAGATAAGGAAACTAGGGGCCAAGGACATTAACTTATTTGCTCTAAGTCACACAAGCAGTAAGTATCAGAAGCAGGATTTAAGCCCTGCTCCACTGACTCTTGAGCTATTACTCTTTCCTCTGTCCTATGTTGTCTGCCCACTTAGAACGGCTCTAAACCTTCACCTGCTGGAGAGGGGACGTCCTCTCTGAATTTGTTGTATTTCACTAAGCCTTTTGGCCTTGGCGTGATGAACTCGGTTCCCCATAGCAACAGAGAGTCATTCTTAGATGTTGTATCCAGTGCTATACTCTTTTTTTAAAGGTGAAAAAATGAGCGCAGCAAGGAGACAATTGTCTCTGGATCATAGAATAATTGAGGGGAATACAATGTAAGGAAACTGGAAAGGTAGAAAGGTAGAAGGATTGTGATGGGCTTTAAATGTCAAATAGAAGATTTCATATTTGATACTGGAGGAAATAGGAAACCACTCTAATGTATTGAGTTGGTAATGGTCATGGCATGGCCACAGCTGTATTTTAGGGGAAAAAATCACTCTGGCAGCAGAATGAAGGATAGCTTGGAGTGGAGAGAGAGTAGAGGCAAGGAGACCAACTAGTAGGTATAAGCTGATCAGGGCCTGTATCAATATGGTAGCTACGTAAATGGAGAGAAGGGAGGCATAAACAAGATTGCTATGCACTTGAAGAAACTTGGGATCGTTCAAAGCAGTTTCCCAAATGTGATCAGGTCCTCACACTTTCTCCTATTCTGTGCCTAGTTCATTGTTCATCTGTAATACTTGTACTAGGTATGTACTGGCTATCCAATTTCATGTCAGCCTCTGGATAATAATGCTTCAGTTTCCTCCTCTGTAAAATGGGAATAATAATAGTACTTAGTTCCCAGGGTTGTTGTAATGCTAGGAGATCATATTAGTAACATGTTTTGCAAACGTTAGAACTTTATATAAATGCTAGCAAAGATAATGATGATGATGATGATGACTTATAGGTACTTTGCTTACCAGTGTAGGTCACAACCCCTCTGAACTCTCTTATGTATATCTTTTTGTTAATCCTACTTAGAGGATCTACTCTCTCAGCTAAAGATTTTCCTCTAGATCTTTTAATGGATGCTCATGTAGCCCTTGGGCTGTCAATCTGTTATCCCTTACTCCTTTTTATTAATTTTTATTTTTTTTAAAGACTGGGTCTCCCTAGCTAGCCTAAGTTGGAAATGAAGGGGCTACTCATGAACCCAATCATACTTCTGACTGAGATAGGAGCTTTTACATGCTCTGTTTCTGACCTGGGCTGGCTCACTCTTCCTTTGACATAATGGTTCCCCAGTCCTAGGGGTTCATCATATAATGCTGAACTATTGTGGACACCTGATCAACACAGCCCACTGAAGCTCAGAACTCTGGAACTCAAGAGATCCGCCTGCCTCTGCTTCCTCAGTAGCAGTTATTATAGCTGGGTGTCCACATGCTCAGTTTATCCCTCATTCTTGTTGTAGCACTGTTTCATAGCTTTCTTATTTCATTAGGAGTAATTATAATAAATGACATTTATAGCACTTTAAGGTTTTCAGAGTTCTATTGATCTATTTACATATATAATCTCATTTGATTTTTGAGACAACCCTATGAAATAAGTAACACTGTTTTTACTAAACCCATTTTACTTATGAGGAAATTCAGGCTCAGGGAAATACACAGAAAATGTTATTGGGGCTAATTTATATATATATTTTTTAACAATTTCATTTTTTCCTCCTTTAGGCTGTGTTCAGTTTCACAATGGTCAACCTTGCTGCAGCAAATGCAGAATTCTGCTTCGATCTTTTCAAAGAGATGAACACCAATCAAGCAAATAGCAATGTCTTCTTTTCTCCTGTAAGTCTCTTCATTGCTCTCTCCCTGGTACGGATGGGTTCCAGAGGTGACTGTGCAAAGCAGATTGATAAGGTAAGTTTCTGGTATATAGATCCATGTTTGTACCTTCAGACATGATCTTCTATAGCTCATCAGGACTCCAAATTGTTGTTGTTGTTGTTGTTTTTACCTCCAAATGCTGAGCCCAAGGAAAGATTTAATTGGAAATTAGCTAATTGCAGAGGGAGAGATGTCATATCCTCCTGCAGCACTAGTAGCTTACTTGTCTTGTGTTGGGAAAGGACTCCTTTGAGAGTGCTCAATGCAAAGTGAAGAGGAAGATAGGAATCTCATAGAGTCTCGTCGAATCTTGGGTTTGCTCTCCTCATTCGGAGGCCATGAAAAGTGAGGTCAAGGAGGCAGAAGAATACGTAGTTCATTTTAAAACCAAGGAAATCTGAGTTTAAAGAGATATCAGATGCTTTCCATATAATGCATGGTTCAGGGGCCACTCACATCACTATGTTTTCCAGAAACATACCAAGCCATTTTATTCTCCCATCACCTTCATAAACCTGAAAGTTTATATTTACCTCACAAGCAGGCACATACATGGCATGAAGTCAGGCACCATACTCAGAGTGAGAGGGTCATCCCTCCTTTTAGAAGCTTTTATCTGTTTGATTTCAAAGCCCTGCTGAATGTTGAGATGACTCTATACTTTGGTGTGAAATTTCTGTGACTTTACTTCACACAGTTTTTTCCCCCCATATTTTTGGATCTTGAGGCCTTGAGTCTTGAATCTTGATCCTATAATGTCTTAAAAAAAAAATGATGGAATTAAAGTTTCACAGGTCTACTTCCCTTAACTCCTAAAACCATCCTTCCTAGCAACAACACCTGAGGACTAGAGTAAAGCTTGGATTCTTTAGTAAAGATGAACTTCCCAATGTTGGTCCTGGAGCCAAGAAGGCCCAAGTTTAAATCCTGCCTGAGACATATACAAGTCTCACATCCTTGGGAAAGTAATTTAATTTCCTTCAGCTACAGTTTCCTCATCTTTAAAATAGGAATAGTAGTAGAAATTATCCCGCAAGGTTAAGGTAAGAAAGAGAGAAAGAGAGAGAGAGAGCGCTTTGCAAGCCTTAAAGTGCCACACGAATGCAAGCTATTGTTATTACTACCTTGTACTACAGCTAAGACTGAAGGTTAGCAGAGTAAACAGCCACCCAGTGCAACTCATGGAGTTGGAGGCATTAGGAGTGATACTATTCAATCGTTTATTATTTTTTTATGGTTTTTTTATGTTTTTGAATGTCAGCCAATTTGACTTTTCATGCTCCTGGTATTTAGTTTGTAGTAAATCAATTCATATATGTTACTATGAAGGCTCAATGCCTCTGTTTGACAATAACACACAGAAGTATTATATGCCCATCAAATGCAGGAAGGTATATATTTCAAACATTGCTGAGGGTGCAGAAATGCCTTGTCCCGACCGGGCCTGCCCAATGCAGCTTTGAAGTGCTAAGTGCCTGATGCCTGATGTTAGTACATTATTTCAGGCTTGTCTAGGACTGCACTCTCTGTGTGGATGTCAATAAAATACAGGTCACAGAATCACAGAGTCACAGGATTGAAGATTAGTGCTAGAAGGTCCCTCAGAGGTCAGCTAGCCCAACTCCATTATTTTACACAAGAAGAAATAAGTCTGAGGCAGTAATGTTGTAGAAGGTAGAATTGGTGGTAAAGACAGTCCTAACGTGATACCAAAGAACAAAATCCATACATAATATTGAGATCCTCCCTAGTAAAACAAACAGTAGCAGAACAAATTCCCAATGTCTTTCTCTCCTCTATCCTGTCTTCTTCCAAAGAATGCCTTTGAAAAATACATAAGTAAAAGCTAAATGATTCCTAGGATGCTATTAACCTTGGAAAGGACTTCTGGCTCTAACAATCTTGTGATACTGCTGCACCTTTTAATAGGAAAAGGGAGATTTTTATTTTTGGTTTTAAAAAGCCTCTTGGCAGTCTGTAGTAATGTGTGTCATTCACTAAAGCATTATTAGCTTCTTTTAAGGAAGTGCTGTTTCAATCTTTGTGTCTCTAATTGCAGGTGCTTCATTATCAGAATGACCCAGAATCTTCAAATTCTCAGGTAAACATAGAGCATTTTATTTTTAAATTTTCCACTGGAAGAAGTGAAGCATGTTATGTGATGGGTGACTAAATTGAAAGAAATCTGCTTCCTCTTCCTCTTTCCCCGACCAGAAACTGTAGTTTTATGTGGCTAGGACTTTTTTGTTTGTTTGTTTCTCAGCTCTCTAAGCTGAATGATAAAGCCTCACTCGGGTTTTTTTTTTTAAATCTTTCAAATTAAATTTGAAAATCACTAGTTCACATACTTCTCATAAGTGAGGATCAAATAAGATTATGCAAAATGCTATACAGAGATGTCAGTTCTTCATAGTAAAGGCAAAATTAACTATTTCAGTAATTTGGGGCTTTTGTAAATTGGAGCACAGCACTTGTATCCAAACCACTGATTACAACCTAAACCTTATTTGTTTTGAATTCAATATTGATTTCTTAATGGTTATATACATGAGGTTGTGTTGCTTAATAATTCTATGAAAATGTTTTCACCCTTGAATAGCATCCTATAAATATATGTGCTTATTTACATATGTGTATCTTCCAATTCCAGGAATGAATTAACTACTTTTCTTTATCTTTTTAATGACAATCTGACAACACCCAGGGACTCCAGTCTCAGATGAAAACACTTCTCTCAGAAATAAACACATCTAGTGATGATTATGAACTCAAAATAGCCAACGGTCTGTTTGCAGAAAAGATATTTGATTTCCAAAAGGTAAGCTGAGCTTTTCTTACTTTAACAGATTATTATTATTATCATTATTATTATTTTGCCTAACAGGTTATTTGTGTGATAATTTGGGTACTTCTTCATAATTAGTTGCAGCAAGTTTACATAGAAAGAGCATGGAAGCTTGATTCAAGAGAAGTGACTTTGAACTTCGGGACCGTGGGCAAGTCAGTTAACTTCTCTAAACCTCTGGTTCTCTATCAGTAAAATGGGAAGAATCATACTTGCATTGCATAGCTCTTTGAAGCCAGAAAACATGAGCCCGGGTATGCCATTTAACTTCTCAGAATTTCTCGTTTCTCATCTGTAAAATGTAGATACTAATACTTGTACTACATACCTCACAAGATTGTGAGCGGGAAAAATACTTTATAAACTTTAACAGCTATCAAAACTTTAAACTACACTAAGACTTTTGGAACATCTTGAATGGTATGTTAAATTTAAGCTATTCAGGCTTAAAATTCGATAAAGAGTTTTTTTTTTCTTCAGTAAGAGTTTTAAGATACCCTGTAGATAAGTGATTTACTGTTATTTAGTGCACAATTCCAAGGATTATACTAGTTCCCTGAGCAATATGGAAGGGTAAAGGTAATTTAGTGTAGTCTAAAGACACACTTTGAAGATAGACTTGCAGGTATGGTTCTCAGAGTTGGTCTTCCCATCACCCCAGTTGCAGACTTGAATATCACAAGGATTGTTAATCTACACCCCTAAGATTTCTATGTCCCCTCTGGCAAGGAACATTGGCTTGCTGTGATGCCCAGAACAGAATGGAATAACAGGGTGCAGGTAATACAAGCTTTTTAACAACCTTTATTTCTTTGATAGCTAAAAATGATTTGATAGGTAATGTCTACCTGAGTAAAAAGGAGTGATTATAGTTTGTTAGACTTTGCAGCACCTTAATATTCATTTTCAAATTCTCCAGTTCATTTCTCAGGTACCTCCAAAATTCTACCTTGCCTGTTTCTTGACCTTTATTTTCACATCTGCCAAAGCACTGGGTCTGGAATCAGGAGAACCTGAGTTCAAATCCAGCCTCAGACACTTACTAGATCTGTGATTCTGGGCAAGTCACTTAGCCTCTGTCAGCCTCAGTTTCCTCAACAATAAAATGGGCATAATAATAACACATATCTTCCTGGGCTGTTGTGAGAATTAAATGAGATATATTTATAAAGTACTTAGCACAGTGCCTGCCACATTTTTGTTGTTGTTCAGTTGTTTTTAGTCATGCTCCACTCTTCACGACCCCATTTTGTGTTTTTTTTTCTTTTGTAAAGATACTGGAGTGGTTTGCCATTTCCTTCTCCAGCTCATTTTACAAATGAGGAAACTGAGACAAATAGGGTTAAGTGACTTGCCCAGGGTCACACAGCTAGTAAGTGTCTGAGGCCAGATTTGAGCTCAGGTCTTCCTGACTCCAGGCCTGGTGCTTCATTCACTGCACCACGTAGTTGTTCATGCCTAGCATATACTAGGTGCTTAATAAATGCCTGCTTCCCCTAACCCCCTTTAGTCTACCCAATTATTATTATTGCCTTTGGCTCTCAAGGGTCTGTCTCAAGGCCCAGCATCACTTCCTCTTCTTGAGGTAACTGCCAAAAGACTGAGGTCTAGTCTGCTTCCTAAAAGAAGCCCATGAAGGAATTTCTGGAACCACTTCCTACCACAACAATGACTAATGATACAGAGCCATATAGAACTCCTTGAAATAGGAAGTTGACTAAATACAAAAGATATTGCAGTGGACAGCCATACACATATGGTTAATGCTCAATCAAGGACAGAAAATAGGAAAATCACAATTTCTTCCCATACTTAATAAAGAAAGCATCTACTCAAGCCACACATTTAAAAAGAATTAGTGCTTTTGTTTTTAAATTGGCCAAGTCAATTATTCTTGTCTTTTGAGAAGAACAGTGGCAGGGAAAACACTGGACTCATTAAATTTGACTTTAAAGTGGACTGCTGTTCTTCTATTTGCTTTTCATTTAAAGCCTTTGTCTGATTCTCTACAAATTCCTTCCATGCACTACAAGGGGGCCTTGAAGATTCACTCAATTCAACAAGCATTTATCAAACACTTAATATGGCAAGGCACCTGAGCCATATGAAAGGGTAAAGGTAATTTAGTGTGCTTGAAAGGAACACCAAAGATGGATTTCCAGGCATGGTTGAAAAACAAAAAAGAAAAACAGTCCCTGATTTCAGGAAACTCACATTCCATTGGGGCTGTGGGGAGGGTACATCATGTACATAGGTGAGTAAATATTAAATTATATACAAATGTCTAAAAAAGTAATTTCAAGGAGGAAAAAACAGAAACAAGAAGAGTGATTAGGAAAAGCCTTGGTTGCATATATATGTATATATCTTCCTGGTTGCATTCCAGGTATGGGTCTCATTACTACTTGTACCATGAGCATATTCTTTTGTCACTTCCTTTTCTGCTTACTTGCTAGGTCTGATGTGGGAAAGAGTCCTCAAGAGAGAAGGTTACTGAATCAGAAACTGAGAATTTCAGATCCATCTTAATGACAGTTTTAAAAGTGGATTTGTGTTTGTTGTAGAGGCTTTCCTTTTTTCTTCCATAAAGATAACTTTTTTTTTAGGCTTTGGGTCCATGACTGATGGGGACGAGAGCGGGGGGAAGAGGGAGAGGAAGAAGATAAGATACTTACTCTACACACCCTGCTAATAATAATAAGGTGCCAAGCTTCAAGCTTCCCTCTCAGCAACCACTTGGGTTAAGTCTAAGTTTATTGTCTAAGAGACACACCTTTCCTGAGGGCATGGGAGGTAATGACTTTGGTTTAAAAAAACTTAACTTGGTAATGAAAATAGTAATTTGCCACAGTCAATCATCTCAGGATCTCATAACAGACAAACAGGAGGTGGAAGATTTAGCAGTACAAATGTCAACACCTGTTTCTGAAAGAATCCTGGGAATGTGGTTTGAAGAAATCTTTGTAAGTTAAAAAAATGAACTGGCTGGTTATTATCCATTTAAGAAGGTATATGATCTTGAAAACTGAGTGTCAAACCTAAATGAATGCCCTTTTCTGGGTAGAAGGAGTAGGAGTGAAGTCTCTGAAAACAAACCACATCTTTTGAATATAGCTACATCCAACAGGACTGAATGAAATTTTCTAGTATTTCATTGAGCAAAACACCATCATAGCAAGATTCACTACCCAGAATCGTATGATAGCTGAATTTACAAAACTTGAACATCTTTTCTAGATTATGCAACATTCAAAAGGTATATTTAAAGGATTCTTCTATCTTTTCCTCTTTGAACTGAGCCCTCCCAACCTTGGAAGTCTGGATCTAGGCCTGGACTATGGCATTCCTTAATTGGGTGATCTCCAGAAGTCATGTAAGAGCACAGAGTTCTTCTTTCCTGTGCCAATAGGTGGAGGGACCAGATTTTCTAATCCCCAGATCAGGCCACATATACTGACAAATGGTATTCCTTTTGCAAAACTTGTTAAAAGTATATTTACTTTTATTGAAATTGGGATTGTCCTGGAAAATCTAGGCCATCATCTATGTAAACTCAAAGTTATCCATCAATAAGTATCTATGAAGCATCTACTATGTGCCAGGTAGTGTGCTAGGAGCTGAAGACACAAAAACAAAAACGAAATAATCCCTATTCTCAAGGTGCTAATTAGGGACACAGCAAAGACACAAATAAGCATACATAGAAAAAAATTAAAGAGAATTAGTACACACTACACACTAGCTAAAAACAAAGTCGTTTCAGAGTGAAGATGCAAGTATTTGGATGGATCAAGAATGGCTCCGTGTAGAAGGTGATGCTTGAGTTGCATCTTGGAAGAAAAGAATGATTTTATGAGTTAGAGATAAGGAGTGAGATGAGGAATCAATTAGGAGTACATTTCAAGTTTGAGGAATAGCCAGTGCAAAGTTACAAAGATGGGAGATGTGGTGTTGTGTATGAGGAACAAAAAGAAGGCCCCTTTGGCTGGATCATAGTGTGGCAGGGGGTTGTTATATTAAAAAACAAAGATTGGAAAGATAGATTGTGAAAGATTTTTAAAGGTAAACAGTAGAGGTAAAGATGCCTTATAGACAATGTTGAGCTATTGCTTGAGTGGAGGAGTAGTATAGTCAAATTCTTAAGGAAAATCAGTGTAGAGGACTGAGTGGAGAAGAGAGAGACTTGAGGTGGGGGGGTGCACTAGGAGGTTGTTGCAATAATCTAGGTGAAAGGAAATGAGAGGGCTTTACAGTATACAAATAGTGAGAAGACAATAGTCAGATGTGGGAGATGTTTAAGATGGAGAAATGGCAGGATTTAAAAACTGATTGGATATGTGATGGAATGTGAAGAGTTAAGGACAATGCCAAAGTTATGAACCTGGGAGACTAGAAAGATGGGGGTGTCTTAAACAGAAATAGTCAAGTTTGGAAGAGAGGAAGGATTTGTTAAAAATATGCTAGGTTTAATTTAATTTTGGATAAGTTGAATTCGAGATGTCTTGTAAACATCTAGTTTGAAATGTCTAATAGATAATTGATAATGCAGGAGTGATTCTCAGGAGAGAGACTGGGAGCTATATAGTTAGGTCTCTCAGTCATCTATATAGAGATTTTAATTAAACTTGAGGGAACTGATGAAGTTACTGGGAGAGAAGAGGAGAGGAGAAGAGAAAAGAGAAAGGAAAAGGAGAGAAGAAGAGGACAGAGAAGAGAAAAAAAAAGAAGAGAAGAAAAGGACAGAGAAGAGAAAAAAAAGAAGAGAAAGAAATAGAAAAGAAAGAAAAAAATACCAGAAGAGACTTTAGGGAATACCTATAATAGGGCATGATATAGATAAGGAGACAAAGATAAGGACAGATAAGTAAAAAGAACCAGAAGAGTGTAGTGTCTCAAAACCCAGAGAGGAGAGAGTATCTAGGAGGAGATGGTGGTCAACAGTGTCAAACACAGCACAAAGGTCAAAAAAGATGAAGACTCAGAAAAGACAATTGGACTTGTCAATTTTGATGGAAACTTTGGAGAGAGGAGTTTTAATTGATTGATGCAGTTGAATGCTAGATGGTTGAGGGTCAAGGAGTGAGGGTGAGGAGAGGAAGTGAATATACTGAGTGTAGACTTCTTTTTCTAGAACTTCTGATAAAAAAGGAAAGACATATAATAATAATAGCTTGAGAGGATATAAGGGTCTAATAAATATTTTTCAAGAATCGGGGAGTCTTGGGCATTTTTAAAGGCTGTAGGGGAGAAAAACTATAAGAGAGATGAAGGTTGAAGTTTTGAGATCAAGAGATGATTAAATTTGCAATCTATTGAAAAAGATGGGAGGACATGAAATTGAGAAGAGCTTGCATAGACATGTCGGCTTTGGCAATTTTAAGGTGTGCTTCATTATCAGTGATTGGGAGAAAATGGGGGATGATGTCAAGGGGTTTTGAGATGAAGAGAATGGGAGAGCAGAGCTCACATTGAATAGGACTCAGTTTTTTTCAGTAAATTAGGAAGAGAGGGTATAGGAGTTTATAGGAATGAAGAGAAGGTCTAGAATAGCTTCTGGGGTGAGGAGGGGAGTGAGATAGAGAATCAGTTAGGAAGGAATAAAAGGACTGCTGTGCTGTAGAGAGAGCCCTGCTGAACTCAGATGAATTTTAATGTTTCTACTTGTCAGGGTTTTGTGAATTCCTCTAGCTCAGAGATTCCCAAAGTGGGTGATACCAACCCCTGGGGGACACTGGACCAACCCAGAGGGGTGGTAGTAGCCTCAGGTGCAATTCGGGGGTGTTAAATAAAAATAAGGGGGCAGTGGAAGCATAAGGAAAAAAGAAAATAAGAAAATTTTGAAAAACCATTTGTATGTGTTTCATCTGTTGTGTAACAGAGTTAAAATCATAGTGATTATGATATTTGCCAAATAAACACATAAAATGCAATTTATAACCTATCAGTGGTCAAGTCCACTGACAGGTCTTAACAAGCAAGTATTGGCAGGAGACAGTGTCGTGCATTGTCAGGAAGTCCAACATACATCAGCAGGAATATGTGTGTGTAATAACTTGTTTATAATATGATGCTGTACAGTTCCACAACGAAATATGGCATCATCAAAATTTCAGTGCAGGAAAAAAACCCACAAATTTACAATAAATTATTAAATTTAAGATGTGTCACTTGTCATTTTTAATTTTTATTTTATTTTTTGATGTCATTTTTTTAAAAAGTTATTTTTTTAAATGATGCAAATTTCAAAAAACTGTTAAAGGGCTAAAGAAAGTAGATTTCCAGGGGGACACTGAGTAATTTTTGTTTTTTTTTTTAAGAGAGGCAGTAGGCCAAATAAGTTTGGGAACCTCTGCTCTAGCTCATATTCAACAATCCATGATTAGGAGAAAGTGGAGGAGGTGAAAAGTGAGCCTAATCCAGGATTGAGATTTGGCAAAAAAAAAAAAAAAATGAGTGGTACAGGACAAGGAAGAAAGATTCTAGAGTATAGGACAGTGTATAGTTGAAATGGCTAACTAGGGTAAAGATCAGAAAGGGAAGAAAAGCAAGTGAAGTCAGAGCAAGGCTAATGACCTGAGAAAGAACTGGGCAGTAGAGGTATTAGAGATTTCAACAAGAGATAGAATATGAGAAGTTTAGGTCAGGTAGAGCAATGGCAGGCTCTCTAATTGAAGAAGTAGAACCTTTGTGGGTAATGATGAAATCTAGTCTATAGCCATCCCTATGTTTGACTAAAGTAGAGGAGTAGGTCATGGAATTTAAGGAGGCTGAGGAATTAGGAGGTTAGGGAGTTTGCAAGAGTATCTGTATAAGTGTTAAAGATGTGGGTGAGAATTTCCTCAATATTTCTGAATATAGCTAATCTAATGCTAGAGATAACATAAGGAATTTCTAGTTAATTTTCCTGCCTGATTATTGATTAATGAGGTAGAAAAATCCCATTTTTCCTTGGGGAAAACAAAAATTCTTTTTGGAGTAGATTGTTATTTCCTTGGTGTACTTCCTGCTACCAAATGCTGATCTACAGCTGTTCTGGCACTTATAGTCTTAGCAGAGAGGTTAAGTGGCTTACCCAGTTCACATAGCCAGCATATGTCAGAGACAGCATTTGAATTCTGGTTTTCTTATCTTCGAGACCAGATCTCGCTCCACCACCACACACTGCTGCTTCCTTAAATGTATACTGCCATTGTATTATTCACGATTGCAAATATTCTGTTTACAGGTCTGGAAATGTACTTGTTTTGTTTTCTCCAAGAAAGTGGAGGGAGGGACAGGGCAGAGACATAGAAAAATTTCTATTTTTTAAGAAGAATTTTTAGGTTGTTTTGTTTTTTTTTCCAGATTTAATTTCTATGCTTTATTGTACTTACTGCACATAACAGCATATGATACATTTCGCTGGGGATACTTCCAAAGATTTCTATTTTTATTTTTTAAAGGTGAGGTTATTGAATACTCAGTGATAAAGAACATTCATGAGAACTCAACTAGGTATTTAGAGAAAATTACAACTAAATTTTGCTTAAAATACAAATATAAAATGAGACAAAATATCACTTTTTTTTCATCAAGTGGTGTCTAGGCACAACCATCTATGAACATCTATGCCCATGCTTATGGTATATATAGGTGGGGATTGTTCTGTTAATATGAGTTTTTTTATTTTAGAATTTTTTAAAATGTGCTGGAAGCTTATATGATGCCAAAATAGAGCGTGTAGACTTTACAACCTCTGTAGAAATAACCAGGAATAAGATTAACCAATGGATAGAGAATCAAACAAATGGTAAGTGTAAAAAATTTTTTTCAAAATACAATACTTGCCAAAGTTACATGTGAATGATAAGATCTGAATTAAACCAAGTAGTTTCTTTCATAGATAAGAGAAACCTCCTTCTTATCCATAGTAGTTAATGCTATCATTCAGCATCACTGAACTATTTTATGTGCCTTTCTTTGTTTCTCCAGTGCCTTGCAAATAGTAGGTGCTTATAAATGCATACTGATTGACTATATCTTCAGTGTGCTTCAGAATAAGGTTGATATGTGAATATCATTACCACTCATCTATACCATAACCAGAGAGTAATAATATAAAGTGGCTAACTCTCTAGTCACAAACCAGATCTCATGATTACCCACAAGGATTCTACTTCCTTAATTAGAGAGCCTGCCATTGCTCTACCTGACCTAAACTTCCTATAGTCTATCTCTTCCTATGTATTACCCCTCTTAAACCTATTCTTCCAACATGTTGAAACCTCTAATACCTCTACTGCCCAGTTCTTTCTCAGGCCATTAGCCTTGTTCTCACTTTGCTTGCTTTTCTTCCCTTTCCCATTTTGACCCTAGTTAGCCATTTCGACTCTACACTGTCCTCTGCTCAGGAATCTCTCCTCGTCTTCTATTATTCATCTTTTGCCTAATCTCAGCCCTGGATTAGTCCCATTTTCCACCTCCTCCACTTCCTCCTAATCATGGGCTGTTGAATATGGGCTAGAGGAATTCACTAAACCCTGATGACTGGAATCATCAAAATTCATCTGACTTTGACTGGGCTCTCTTTTTAACTCAGACTTGCACGAGACTCAAAGAGGTTAAGTGACTTGCTGAAAGTCACATCTTTGATAAATGTGAGAGCAGAAATGTGCACACCTGTGCTTCTGACTCCAACTCCAGCACCCTATCCACTATGACATTCTGGCTTGCTTACCCAAGGAAGAACCTGGAATTAATTTGTGATTGAGCATACGAGCTCAATTTCTTAGAGAAATGAAACCATGTATCAACCAAGAGATTATGCTCTTACAAAATATTCCTGGCTAAAATCACTTTTTTAAAAAAAACTTGAACAAAAAGAACTTGCATTTAAAAAATTTTACATTTAACAAATATCCCCCCAAAAGTACTTCCATATAAATTAAAACAGCAAAAGATAATTGTATATGAAACTGCAAATCTTGACTACGTACGGCTTCCTTTTAATCAGTCAATAAGCGTTTATTAAGCACTTATGTGCTAGAGTGCTAGAGATACAAAAAAAAAAAATCCAATAAAGACAGTTCCTGCTCTCAAGGAGATCACAGTCCAATGGTGGAGACAATGAGGGAGACAAGCAATATAGAATGTACTCACATATGTGTATATCATAAATTCAACTTTCTACTTTTAAAGATGTCCTGTTTGTCCTGTATCTGCTTCTCAACTGTTATCTAATAGTCATATTGTACAATTTTTAAAAGGGCCTTAATCTTGCATATTTCATAAAATTCAACAATTAGCCATGACAGAGATGTCTCGAGGAAGATGCCTCAGAAAAAATATCTTAAGAACTTTCTCTGGTAGGTTTTGTCTTTACTTAGAATATTTTCAATTTATTTGGAAGAGAAGACTGATTAGACATTCTGTACATTATCCTTTGCCCCCTTCTCTTCTCAAAGCTATTCATTCCTTTGATCAAGCAAGGTTTTTCTGCTTAATTTGGGCCCTCAGCAAAGTAAGCGTGTTTCTGTGGTTGAAACTGCAACAAGAAATATTGCATGTATTTCTTGAAAACAAATTTGTAAAGCACAAATATAAAATTGGCCTTGGAAAGAGAAGTGAAATGAATTACCTTTACTCTCCTTTGCCTCTTCTGGACATTAACTAGAATTTGGTCATTAGCTATGGGATAACTCAAATATACTGTCTTCACAAAAATAAGAGAGAGATAGGATACCAGCTTGTTGTTCTAGGAACCATCTGGTTGTCTCATAGCTAAAGACTAGAGTTCGTAGATACAAGGGTACTAGATTTTCAGTTCCTCACAACATATTTCTATGGTTTGATGGATCTATGATCTCACTCCTATGGGTACTCCCTTCAGTAATGTAGATCTCAACCCATCTATGTTTCCTCATTCTCTGTGACCCTTGTTCATATACTCCAGTAAAAACTCCATTGAAGGCTCACTAACTTAATAGAGGGCTTCCTCTAAATGTCTTCATATTGTGTGGGTACCTGTGGAACATGTGAGCTGTCCAGCAGCCATTACTGGCTTTCATTATATGGCCAATCCACATCTTTTTCCTGATTATATATCTCTTTGATGATATCTTTTACACCACTGCTACAGTGAAATTCTTTTTTGGCAATGAATTGGACCCAATGTATGCTTCTCCATTTCCCTTTAGATGACTCACACCATAATTCTTTGGAAAGGGTTATATTCCATGACTCATAGCCACACAACATCACTGGAAGATGATTGATACTAAATAGATGGGCCTTTATTTCAAGGAGTCACCCAAGGTCATTAAAAGTACCCTGCAATTTCTCAGATTTAGTGCAGCTCAACTTACCAATTCTGTATTTATGACTTTTCTTTTCTACTCATGCAAATACTAGTAATTGGTTTGTGTCTTGATAAGTATATGAATTTAGCATAGGCATTTAGGAAATTAATATTAGCCTGTAAGATCTTGTGGGTTAAGAGATTTGTCTTCTTGATCGTATCTTCTCCAACCTAGGCACACTGTTCAACACATAGCAGTGTCTTACAAATGTTTGTGGAATATATTGCCTCTTTGTGGTATGTTTGCTCTCCCTTACTACCTATCCATGAATCTAAAACCAATGAATACTACTGCTTGTATCTTTTATGTCTTCTTACAATGTTCCTTCTCTTGACTGAGTACTAGCAGGGACCTGGCAAGGACTGATTCCTGGTTTGGGACTCAATCCTGCCCTACTCCACCCTTTAGTCAGGTATCTTCCAGGCTTGGTCAGCCTATGACAAATGAGTTTAATAATAGTCTTTCTCCCTACCTCATAAAATGGCTCTGAAGTTCAAGAGATCAGATGTGTGAAATATCCTTGTAATGATAGACAACTATATAAATGTGACTCATTGCTTTTATTAAACTGTTTAATTCAGAATTTGAGATTGTGAACATTTCAGAAGGCTCCTGATAACCCAAGAAATATTTTCTCATCATTTTTTCAGCTATATGGAACCAAAATAGTAGTTGGAATGTCAGATATTGTAATGATCATGATCTGCACAAAGTTGGGGTTGGGAGGTCTTATTGAAAAGTTCTATTATCTTATTGAAAAAGTCTTGGCTTATTGAGCATTATCTTATTAAAAGAAATATGTTTATTTTTTCCCCCAATTTTTTCAAAAGGCAAAATCAAGAATATCTGTCCAGAAGGTAGCATTAGCTCATCATCAGTAATGTTGCTGGTGAATGCTGTGTACTTCAAAGGGAAATGGGATGGGGCATTCACTAAAAATGAAACTGTAACTTGCCGTTTCAAGTCCTCCAAGGTATGTGATTTCTATTACATGTATGATGCCTTTAGATATTTATCTTAGTGAAAAGCTATGATTATATAAGCACTGTGTTTGAATGGTCAGTGAAAACTCATGTTTTTTCTGCATTACCAAAATCAAGAAGCCATGTGTTTGTAGTGTCAAATTATACAACTTTCTACCTTATAATGTTCATTCATTTAATAAAAATTTACAAGTGATGGGAAGGAGGGAAAATAACTTCTTTCATTGAGAAATATTAAATTTTAAAAAACAAAGCAACAATAAAAAAACCCAAATTTATTGATCACTTACTCTGGATTGCCTGCAAGGTTCTGGGGCATTTGGGAGAAGAAATATTTAAACTTAGATTTTAACAAATACCCTTTTTCTAATTGAACTTATACTCTGTGTAGCAGAGAATGAAAACTAAAGTTCTTCAAGGCATTTGCTTATATTTAAAAGGAGTTCAAATATGGGATTATTATTTTTAAGAAAACAATTTACTTGAGGCAAATTGAAAATGTCTAGTTTAAGCGTTTGGATTTTCATACTACCTGGAAGTCTACATTTATAACTACATACAAATATCTTTTACTGTTCACTGTCTTATCGCCTCACTTTGGGTCTAATGAATTGCTAGGAAACAATTATTTTTAAAATAAAATTTAAATTGTGAACTTAATAATCAATAACAAGTACAATAACAAAAAAGACTGTATATGAAACTGAACTTCTGTAAATGAACAGTTTGTATTAATAATCCCCCCTTATATAATCAGGCATATTTCTTGCAGTGTGTTTGACAATGGAATATATAACATATATAAATAGAAAATGATATTTTCCCAATGTAGTCAGGTGTCTGTGAGGGTTTGGAGGTTTGGTCAAAGATGAAAAAGATTTGACTAGGAAATAAGAATTTTTTTTTTTACTGCAAAACATTAAGCTTAAAAACAAAGCAAAAATAAAGATCCCAAACATTTATTGATCATTTACTCTGGATTGACCACTGTACCAAGCTCTAGGGTGTCTGGGAAGAGAGATATTTAAACCTAGATTAGAAAATAATACCATTTCTCTAGTCAAAATTATATTTTGTGCAACAATGTTCCCTCTAGCTGACCCCCATCTTTGGAATGTGGGTGGTAATAGACTTTTCCAAATAATCTTTCTTTCTTCCCATTGAGCAGAACCTACTCTCTAGGCATCATCTTGAACTCTACCTCTGTAAAGATATTTATTCCTGTAGTGCATGAAGGAAATAGTGCTAATAAAATCATTTGTACTTGTTATTGACTAAGTTCACAATTAAAAAGAAATTTTAATTTAAAAAATTATTAATGTTTTCCTAGCAATACTTTGGATTCTATAGTGAAGTAATAGCAGATAACAATGCCAGTTAATTTATTTTTCACCTAAGGGTTGGGAGATTACTAGATTCAACTCTTGCCTGCTTTGAAACATTTATACAAAACATAATTTTAAAAATCGTTGTCAATATGATTCTCTCTCATTTGTCCCAGAAGCCTCCAATCAGGAGGTGGAGAGGAGGAAAAGGACTCATTTTGTCTTGCCATTCATACAGAAAAGGTCTATCTTCTCTCTCTTTATCTCCATTATTCTGCCTACCCCTTCACAAATAATGGATCATAAAACCAGGCACAATTAAGATCGATCATGTTAAGATAGGAAGTATGAACCAGATTTACAGAATCAGAAAACTTTGGAATAAATGTCTACTGTATCAAGTAGAAATAAGGAGAGAAGGAAGACAGCTACTTCCCCATTTGGAATTTATCCAAAGTCAATAAACATCGGTTGCTCATGCAGCATCTCCTTGGTGTTTTTGGCTCTCCCATCTTCCCACTGGAGGCAGAAAGGGCTCCAATGCCCAGAGCTCTAGCATCAGTTCCATAGCAACTGGGTCACTTTAACACCCAGTTTCTCAGTAATGAGTTCCTTTAGTAACTCATCTCAATAACTAGTTTCTCAATCAGTCTCTTGACTCACCACTATTCACCTTCTGTGCTAAAGTTCATCATCCTCCCGCTCCATTGTCTTGGTGCATATCTCCTCAAGGGAACAAGTCAAAAGATTCTGTTCATATCAGAAGAACTTCATCTCCCATCATGCCTTTCTCTATTTCAGAGAGGCCTCATGGGTTGCACCAATTATCATGTATTATCTATGTTTAGTTGTTAATGTTTTAGGCAGTTGCTTACTCACAAAGGATCCAAATAAGATCTCTTTACATAGGGTCACTTCTGGGATCACTAACACCTCAAGTACAATCAAGATCATTAGAGCTGATGAAAATTAAGTAGAGACATATAGTCTTATTTTAATTTTTCTTCTAAAAAGAACAAGTTAAGTGCTATTTCTTCATTTCTTCAAATTAGAAATTTTAAGAAACTTATGCAAGACCTATTAAAATGAAATGTTAATAAAGCTAATTTCCAAATAGTTTACTATATCCTTTTTTTTCTTTCTCTTCATTGACCTCTGAATACAGTTCACATTGAAATTTCCCTAAGACAATGTGATTGTATCTACCTAGACCTGTTGCAGTTTTAGGAATATTAACTATCTGGGAGGAATGAGGAGAAACCAGTGCACAGAGCCTGGTACACAGAGGGGAGCTAGGTCCTTCTCCTCATCTTCCTCCTCCTCCTCTTTTTCTTCTTCTTCTTCTTCTTCTTCCTCTTCTTCTTCTCTCTCTCTCTCGTTCTGTTTCTTCTTTTCCACATCTTCCTTCTGTGCTGTCTCCAAGCAGCATGAACCACTCTCTCCCATTTTTTAAAAAAAAACAAACAAAAAACCCCTTTCTCTTAACTCTATCACCCCCTCAAACTTTCTTCATATGTCTCTTCTCCCTTTCATAATCAAACTCCTAGGGAAAAAACACACCTGTCTACATTCCTTGACTTCATTTCTTCACTTTCAACTCAGTTCTAAACTCTTTATAATCTGGCTTCCAATCCTACCAGTACAGTGAAACTTCCCTTTCCAAGGTCACCAACAATCTCTTAATTGCTAAATTCAGTCATCTTAGTAGTCATTCTAGCCTATCTTTATATACCAAGTTCACAGTACTCCTCACATACTTGGCATTCCAGCCAAGCTGCCTTGTTTCCTTTGTTCCCTGTATATGACATTCCATGTCTTGCCTCTGTCCTTTTGTGTAGGCTGTCCTTCATACCCAGAATACTCCTTCCTCCTCCAGAAGGAAGTGTCCTTCTCTTGGAACTCCTAGCTCCCTTCTAGGCTTCTGTCAAATGAATAGGCACAATAGACCTTTCCTGATTATCCCAGCTTTTAGGGCCACCCCCTCCAATTATTTTGGTTTTATTTTATTTATGTTTTGTATTGGCTTAATTGTCTACACGTTTTTTCTTCCAAGTAGAACATTGATGTTGAAACAGTGGGAATCATTGTTTTTTTCTTTGTATGTCTAATGCACCTACCACAATCTCTGATGCACATAGACATTTAATAAATGCTTGTCAAATTCAAGTGAATCAGAACTAGTGATACAAGATGACACTTTTATTTCTTTATTACATAGTCATTTTACGGCAGATGTCCCTTAAGGATTACAAACTGAACAAATATTTCAGAGTCGTTCCAACTATATTCTGGCAAGAATAAGAACAAAAAGGAGTATAAGTTTCAACTATGTTCTTTGTGCTTTTTTTACAGTGCCCTGGGAAAACAGTCAACCTCATGCATCAAGAACGCAAGTTTAACATGACTATCATTAGCGACCCCGATATGCAGGTCCTTGAGCTCAAATATGTTGGTGGAATAAGCATGTACATACTACTACCTGAAAATAGTCTCTCAGAGGTAAGCTATGCTGAATATGGAACATACAAGGAAAATTTGTTAGTAATGACTTCTTTGGGGACACAATCAATTGTTTTCATTTAGAAACAATTATATGTGTCTAAAATTGGAAAGGATCTCAGAGACCATTGACTCTAATCTCCTCTTAAAGATGAAGAAATTGTGGTCCAGAGATATGAATTAACTTGTTCAGGATGACATAGGGAGTGTCAGAGGCAGGATTTGAACCCAACCCTTTTGACTTCTTAGCTGATGTGCTAGATACTATTGGTTCTCTAGATTTTTGATTTTCTGACCATTTTACTACTAGAACAACAGTGAAGACTACAAAAACATTTTGTTTATGTGGGTTAGGGCTATTGATATTTAACAAATTAGAAATCATGATACCTTAGTATTATTATAAAAATAGTTTTGACTTTGTGGAATCGCTGAAAAGGTCTTGGGGACCCCAGTGGTTCACAGGATACTTTGAGAACTGCTATTTCATAATATGATTCCTACTTAGGCCTCTGATTTTCAAACTTTGGGATGTAGGTACTGTCTATGCAAAAATCACTGTATTGTGAAGTGTTCCATTTTTATCCAGTTCCATTTTAATAACTAGGCACAAACAAATAAGAAATGGAGGTAAAGGTGAAATTGCTAAGTTTGTGGTCATACTAAGAGTAGTTCACATTTAGGTAGTGGTCCCCAGTTTGAAAAGTGATTTTTCCATAACAATAGAATGCAGTAGTTAGTGCAAGTATTTTTTTTTTCTTTCCTTTTTAGATAGGTACAAGAGAGGTTTAGAGAGTTATCAGCATCTATGCAGCTAGTAAGTAACAAAGCTGGTGCTCAAACCCAGATCTGCTCTATCTTCGGGCTCCAAGTTGATTAGTCTATCTATTCTACTTCTTAATTAAGGAGGAATGGAAATATTTGAAAAGTATTGTGTCACTATTATGATGGTCTCAATAATATACTTTGAACATTTATTTTATATGTGTTGTGTGTATATGTGTACACGTTTGAATTTTTACTTTATACATATCCAGGTCTCAATTATCTGCATTCATGGAGTCAGAAACTGTCACAGTTAAGCCAGAATAGCAGACAGTCCAGAAGATATTTATTTTTGGTCTTGGATTCATCAAATGATTTGATTCCATCAGTAACATCAGATTTATTTAATATTAAAATCCTCCTTGTTTCTTAATATGATTTTTTATCTTTTTCATTTCAGACTTAAATACATAATGCAAAAAGAAAAAAACATATTATAAGCTTAAATATTGAAACTTAAATATAAAAAAAGAAAAAAACACATCATGTGCACAGCAGAATGTAAGAGAGGATTCAAAATATATAGCATTAAATTTCTATTTCAAGAAAGCCTATATAATAAATACTATGCATTGTGTTGAGAGCTGTCTGTCTTTGCTTCCTTGTAGGGTTTCTTTTGTTCTCTGCTGTGCACTTTTTATTTTGTTCTTTCCTCCCCTCTCCTCCCCCAGGCTATAATTAAACACGGATATATTTATATATAGATATAGACATATACATACGTATATACATATATACACATAAATACATACATACATATATAAACATATACTTTCCCTAACAGATTCTACTCCTAATCTTTTTTTATGTTTATATGTATCTCTTATTTCTTATCCCTCCTGACTCCTCTACGTTACTTCTACCTATTACTTTGCCTTCTAATTACTTAACCTACAACCCCTCCAAGGATCCCTCCCTTATTCTCCCTCTTTTTTAAATTTTTTTTTTATATTTTTAGGCAATTGGGATTAAGTGACTTGCCCAGGGTCACACAGCTAGTACGTGTCAAGTGTTTGGTCTAAAGCCGAATTTGAACACAGGTCCTCCTGACTTCAGGGTCAGTGCTCTCTATCTACTGCACCACCTAGCTGCGCCTATTCTCCCTCTTAATATGATTTTTATAGAACCTAACATTAGGGGCAGCTTGGTGGCACAGTGGATAAAGCACTAGGATAAAGTACTAGCACTGAGTTCAAGTCTGGCCTCAGACACTAGTTATGTGACCCTGGGCAAGTCACTTAACCCTGTTTACCTCAGTTTCCTCATCTGTAAAATGAGCTGGAGGAAGAAATGGCAAACCACTCTAATATCTTTGCCAAGAAACTCCCAAATGGGGTTATAAAGAGTCATACATGACTGAACAAAACATTAGTCTCAGACTGTTAAGATTCTTCTCCATCCCTGAAAAGCATAAATTCATGAAGGAGAGGTGATCTCAAAGTATGCCAAATGATGGGAAAAGCAAGCCTAGAGTCATAGGATCATAGACCTGGAATGAGAAGGGACCTAAGAGGCCCGCTTTTCCAACTCCATCATTGTTTTCTTTTTTTTTTTTTTTTACAAATGAGGAAACTGAAGCCCAGAGCGTTTAAATGATATAAGTGTGGTGGGGAACATCAGAGGCAGAATTCCCATAGGATGATAGATCTGATACTGGAAGGACTCTCAGAGGCCTACCAGTCCAATCCTATCATTATATAAATGAGAAAACTGAGGCCCACAGGGGTCAGGTGACTTGACCAAGGTTCCAGAGGTAGTAAGCATCAGAGGGATGATTTAAACCTAGAACCACTGACTTGAGAATCAACATACTTCCGACTGTTTTATGCTTCCCATAAAAGTTGTTGTGGATTCTTCACAAAGTGGATAATCCACACAACAGAAAATCAAAAGTCAAAGAGAATCACGGAAGGAAGATCAGATTCGAACTGTGTCTTTGCTGTGTGCAACCTCTGTGACCTTGGGCAAGTAATTTAATCTTCTGGAGCCTCATTATCTTCATAAGTGAAATACAGATATTTAGCTCAAATAATTGTGAGAAAAATGCTTTATGTACCTTATGCTATATAAATATGAGCTACTATTATTAAAAGGTGCAGCTCAGCGGCACAATGAACAGAATGCAAGGTCAGAAGTCACGAAGACTCACCTTCCTGATTTCAAATCTGGCCTCAGACACTTACTAGCTGTGTGACCCTGGGCAAGTCATTTAACCCTCTTTGCTTCAGTTTCCTCATGTATAAAATGAGCTGGAGAAGGAAATAACACTCAGTATCTTTGCCAAGAAAACCGCAAATAGGTCCCGGAGACTCAGACGCGACTGAAAAGACTGAACAACAACAATTATTATTAAAATGTAGACTGCACGTGGTCACATAAATATTACTTCTTTGATATGAAATCTAGTAAAATGCAAGGACTATAAAATTCCATTAAGAAACAATATTATAAGTAATGTATGTATGCACTATTTGATTAAAATGTATGTGGAAAAATTAACACAAATATTCTTCCTCCTCTATACCTGGCAAAAATTGTAAACATCTTCAATTATCCTGAGGATGATAGCTTTTGTTTTTAAATTATCCCAGCCTTTTGCTTCTCCTCCTGCCCTTCCCAGGTTTGGGCTATATTTCTTCCTGTGGCTGGACTAGGGAGAGAAAAGGAGGTGAAATTCTTGTGTCAGTTTTACTGTATGGTAGTAAAATAAAATTTCTGGAGCAGGAGACTGGGGGAGCCCCTGCTTTTGCTCACATACGGTCCCCTTCCCCCTATCTCAGACACACATTTTATAGCTAAGTCTCAGAGAAGCTAAGCGACTTACCCATAGGTGTGAAGGACACAGTCACTGAATGTCAAAGGCAGGATTTAAACCCATCTTTTCCTGCCTTCAAATCTAGCACTTAGCTCATCATATGGCATTGCTTTAGATATGGATTCTTTAGGGCTTTACATACCAGCTTCTCTCTCATAGGTCAAAATTTTCTTGAAAATGACCAGTCCCTTGTCTGTCCTGAATCCTATCACTCTAGAAATACTTGTTAGTGCTTTAAGTCACAGTGGGGACTATGTCTTGAAATCGGTTGTTTTGTACAGTACCTAATTTAAATGGCCTGTGAACTCTCCCCAGGTTGAAAATAAACTGACTTATCAGAATTTAATGAACTGGACCAACCCCAAAAGAATGAAGTTGCAGTCTGTGGAAGTATTTGTTCCTCGTATCAGGATTGAAGAAACTTACCAAATCAAGAGACATTTAAAAGCTCTGGGAATGACGTATGCCTTTGATGAATCAAAAGCAGATCTTTCTGGAATTGCCTCAGGAGGACGTTTATATTTATCAAAAACACTGCACAAATCCTACATAGACATTACTGAAGATGGCACCGAGGCAGCATCTGCCACTGGAAGTGTCACTGCAGAAAAGCAACTCCCAAAATCTACTTTATTTAGGGCTGATCATCCATTCCTGTTTATCATCAGGAAGAATGACATCATTTTGTTTGCTGGAAAAGTCTTATGCCCTTGAAATCTAGGGGATGGACAGTGTGTGTGCTTGTGTGTGTGTGTGTGTGTGTGGTGACTTCCTGCTTAAATTGTCCCTGGTTCATGAGGGAACAAGCATAAATGGATAGAATTACAATCACATGAAGGGGCCCAGTATTGACCTTATATTAACTTTTCTCCTAACATTAGTTTCCTCATTTAAAGAAAAAAAGGATTGGCAAGCACACAAACTAACTGATTCACTACTGCCCAACACACTTTCTGATGCATCCATTTCATTGATAGCCTCACTAACGGCTACCATTTTCCTTACCTCCATTCATGTCTGTGCACTGCATCTCTCTAGCCTCTCAAAATGGATTATGTATCAGCATAATGGGAATGTTCAAAGCAAATTTCTAGGCAGTAAAGGAGAAGCTACATTCCTTAAGTTATTTTCCTAAACTTTGCACGTGCCACAGGCATTCTAATTGGATTATAAATATTCTAGAAACCAATGCATATGACTTTAAATAAGTCTAAAGGATTTTTATTTTGCTAACTTGAGATGCCAGAATTCCTTTAACATAGCTAAATCTCTCTAACATAGCTACTCTAGTTCATAGTTCTAAAGTGTAATTTAGAATTTACCAGATTCTAGCTTTTTTTAAAAAAAATGGGAACAAAAAGAAATCCCTATACATAAATATATTTTAAGTGATGGCTCTCTGTCTCTTCCTACTAGGTGAAACATGTGGAGGACTTAACTTGTGTATATTCTTTTGTTTTCTTTTTTCCTTGTATTCATGTTCATTAATTAAATCTTGTTACTTCTTTTGTTTCATTCAGTATATTGCTAGTTGATATTTTCAAAATGTCTTGTTTGATATATTCTCTAGTTAATAAGATTTTGCTTCATTTATCAGAATAAAGAATGATTGGACCCTCTCGACTGGGTGAAAGGGTAAAAGTATTTCATGGGATAAACTTGTTTTCTGAATTTTCATAGAATCATAAATGTCCCAGTGGTAAGGGACCACTGGACCATCTAATCCAACTGGTACTGGACCCAGAATTGTCTCTGCAACATCCCTATGAAGTATCTAACCAGCTGTTGCTTAAAGATTTCTAAGTGGAGAGAACCCCACTATACCCTGAGGCAGCCAATTCCACCTTCTCTTGCTTTTGTTAGCACATTTTTTCCTCACACTGAATTCATATGTGCTACTCTACAACCACCACCTTCTCCTTCAGGTTTTATACTCTGGGGCTGAGCAAATTAAACTGCCTTCCACAAGACTATAGTCCTTCAAATACTTGAAGGGAGTTATTATGTCCCTGCTAAATTTTCTCTTCTCAAGACTAAATATCTGTAGTTCCTACAAACAATTTTTAGGTAGCACTAGTTCGTGACCTTTTGAAATCCTTATCACCCTATGATACATGATTTTCAGTTCATCATTGTCCTTCCTAAGATGAGGTGGCCAGAACTGAACACAATATTCTAGATGGGACATGACCAGGGCAGAGTATGCCAGAACTTTCATCTCTGTCATTATGGAAATTATTCCTCTCAGTGGAGCCTAAGATTGTTTTAGTTTGTATGGCATGTCACACTTTTGATTCATATTGTGCCTGAATTCCACTAAAATTCACAGAATGTTTTGAAACAAATTAGCCATGCTTTCCTCACCTTATACTCATAAAGCTAATTTTTTAAATCCAAGTGCAGGACTTGACTTCTATATCTATTGAATTTCATCTTATTGGATATAGCCCAATGTTCTAATCTGTCCAGACTTTTTGACATCTAACATATAAGCTATCCATTACAGATTTCTATCATCTGCACACGTTATAAATGTGCTATGTTTTCATTCAAGTCATTGAGGAAATAAGCCAAACAGTATAGTGGGTAAACGACATTCTTGAGATTACTTAAGTAAAGACTTCCCTCCATGTTGACATCAAACCATTATTGACTTCCCCATTCTGGTTCCAGGGTAAGCAAACATTGAAAATGAAAAGCATAACTTCTTCTGATATGAAAATATAATCTGGTTTAATTATATCAGGAGTTGATCACAACTCATTGCATATTTTAGCATATTTTTTTAAAGAGAATTGTGTAGGCTGATTGAATTTTTTAAAAATTTGAGTACTGATGGACTTTTTCAGTTGTTTCTAAATTAACTATAATAGCCCACAGTATTTATTTAAAGTAGACATCAGTACAAAAATTAATTTATGAATTACTGGAAAGAGGTTTGATCCTATATTTAATTAAATGTAAAGTAATATTATATCAAGTTTTTACATCATACATATTGATTGTTGGGGCAGCTAGGTGGTACTGTAGATAGGGCACTGGTCCTGGAGTTAGGAAGGCCTGAGGTCAAAACCAGCTTCAGATACTTATTAGCTGTGTGACCCTGGGCAAGTTACTTAACCTGTTTGCCTCAATTTCCTTATCTATAAAATGAATTAGAGAAGGAAACGGCAAACCACTCCAGTATCTTTGGCCAAATAGGGTCACAAAGAGTCAGACGCAACTGAAAAGACAGAACAACAACAACAACAGTGATTATTGATGGGAAAAGAACCAGAGAAATCACAGATACTCATAATTATTAGTTATATAGTAAAAGTGTCCCTATAGTAAAAGTAAACATGTGATATTTTATCATTTGAGAGGAGTCAAAAGATACTATCATCTTTCCAGCCTCAAACATCTAACCATCAGCCACCCACATTGCAGAATTTCTAGGATTCTTTCAATGTCCTTTAAGGAGCTATGTGTTTTACCTAGGTTGAGGGCCCTTAGAAGAGTTAACAATTAATAGGGATTGGGTTTTTTTTTTATTACTCAACAACCATTTGACACCCAATAAAACAAGATCCTGAGGGATTTGGAGACAATAAACTTTTGTTGTGGGAGAGGTCAGCAAATGCAATGTTCAGTGCCAAATCATACTCAACAAATTCAATAAACTTTTAGAAAAGCACTTACAATGTTCAAAGTACTATGCTAAGTACCAGACAGTTGGTGAACTCAGGTAGTTTTAGACCCCATTAGCACAAAGAGGGAAGCAGGGCAATTGATCTGTGGAAGAAGCAATAGAACCCTTGTAATCAGGGCTTCTGAGGAGGGGCACCAATTTATTTCCCATGCTAGGCATAAACTAGAGGGACTTCACTGTTGGCATTTCAGACAAGTCTTCTTGATAACTCTTACATTGTAGAACATTACAGTAGTGGAGGAAGGAAGGAGGCAGGGAAGTATGCAGTCAAGGAGCTAGTCATGTGATCCAAGTATTCTTGGGTGTTTTTCTCCCAGTATCAGTGGGTACACTGTCCCTGAGCTGAGTGTGTTCCTGGTGATTCCTGCCATCAAAGTGTTGCCGCTGCACTTCTTAAAGTCTGAGGATACCTCAAAAGGACGTAAAGTCAGCAATAGTTACTTGCATGAAAACCCCTGTGAATCATTCTCTCATCTCCAGGGCATCTCTATCACCGATCAATGTCTTCTGACAGTTAAAGGCTGTAGGAATCAATGATCACTAAAAAAAAGTGTAATTTTGTCAAGAATGAGTCATGCTAGACTAATCTCAATTCTTTTCTTGATAGAGTAGATCAGGGGAAGCTGCTAGACACAACAGACAGCAATATTGCAAAGCAAAGAGATGCATTCAACAAAGTCTGTCATGCTATTCTTGCGGATGAGTTTAATAGACACAGTCCAGACAATGCAATTAGGCAGATTTGGAATTAGTTGAATAACTGGACCCAAAAAACCAGTTGTTAATGGGTCAATGTCAACATGGAGGGAATGTTCTAGTGAAGTGCCCCAGGGATGTTTCCCTGGCTCTTCACTATCCAATATCTTTATAGCGATTTGTGTGAAGTCATAGATGGCTTGTTTGTCAAATTTTCAACTGATATGAAGCTAAGCAGGATAGTGAATATTTTAGATTGCAAAATCAAGATTAAAAAAAAGCATTTCAGTGTAGAGAGAGGTATTGATTACAATATAATGAAATTGAATAGAGATAAAGGTAAAGTTTTATTTCAGTAATTTTTTTTCAGTCACATCTGACTCTTCATGACCCCATTTGGGATTTTCTTAGCAAAGCTACTGGGTTGGTTTGCCATTTCCTTCTCCAGCTCATTTTTGCAGATGAGGAAACTGAGACCAAAAGGGTTAAGTGACTTGCCCAGGGTCACACAGCTAGCAAGTATCTAAGGCCAGATTTGAACTTAGGAAGATAAATCTTCCTGACTCCAGGCCTGGTGCTCCATCTACTGCACCACCTAGCTGCCCAAAGTTTTATACTTGTGTTAAAAAACAAAACAAAACAGAACAAAAAACTTACCATCTTAATTATATGTCAGGGAAGATGTGGCTAGACCATAGTTAACATGAAACAAAATATGGAATGGACTGACAGCTCAATATGAGTGAATTACATGCTGTAACAGTCACAAAAGCTAATGTGATCATTAACTACATTTGAAAGACTGGTACCATGAAGGACTGAGCTCTGTCAATAGATGCAGTGCATTGACCCATACTCAACCAAGTAGGATGAAAATTTTTATTTTAAAGTAAAATGATGATATATTCTTGGAACAATAAAGCATATGTATAGAGAAATTATAATAACATAAAAATTATTGTGTAAATTGATGTAAATGAAGGATCTAGTCCTTCTTTGCAAAGAGAAGAGTGGTATTGAGCAAAAGGGATATAGAAAGTTCTGCCATATTTGACCTCTGTCAGGTCACATCTGGAGTATTGCATTCAGATCTGGGTACCACGTTTTATTTTTATTTATTTATCTTTTTTGGTGAGGCAATTGGGGTTAAGTAACTTGCCCAGAGTCACACAGCTAGTGAGTGTTATGCGTCTGAGGCTGGATTTGAACTCAGGTCCTCCTGACTGCAGAGCCAGTACTCTATCCACTGTGTCACCAAGCTGCCGCTGGGTACCACATTTTTAAGAAGAAAGACAAAATGGAGTGAATTAGAAGAGGAGCTGGGTATATTAGCCTGCAGGAGAGAGGATTTAGGGATGTGGGATGTTAGATAGGGCCATGACAGTCGTCTTTAAGTATTTGAAGATTTGTCATATGTAAGAGGGAGCTAAGTGGCATAGTAGATGGAGTGCTAGAGCTAGACTCAGGAGGGCCTGAGTTCAAATCCAGCCTCAGTCTAGCTGCATGACCATCGCAATTTAGGCAACCTCTCTAGGCCAGAGTCTCCTCATCTATAAAATGGGGGTGGTAATAGTACCTACTTCTGAGAGTTTTTGTGAGGAACAAAAGAAACATTTCAAGGTACATTGCAGACCTTAATGAGCTGTATAAATGTGGGCTATTATTACTATTAAGAGGGACAAGATGTGTTCTCTGGTTACAGAAATCCAAACTAGGAATAATGGGTACAAGTTTCACGCTTCGGAGAGGCATGTTTTGACTTCATGGAAAGCGAATCTTTTCTTTTTTTTTTTTTTTAATACTTCCTTAGAGTTGTCCAAAAGTAGATGGATTGTTTCCAGGGGTTGTGGGGTTCCCATTTGCTAGATGTTGTCCAGAAGTGGTTAGAAGACCACAGATTAGATTTGTCATAGAGGTAATTCTTTTTTTTTTTGGCTAGGTAATGGGGTTAAGTGACTTGCCCAGGGTCACACAGCTAGTAAGTGTCAAGTGTTTGGTCTAAGGCCAGATTTGAACTCAGGTCCTCCTGACTTCAGGGCCAGTGCTCTATCCACTGCATTACCTAGCTGCCCCTGAAGAAACTTTTGATAGTCTTAGGACAAGTAGATCTTAACTCTTAGAAGTCTTG